GTTTTGCTGAATAACTGAATATGGAACAAGCAAAGCTTAATACTAAACAATATATATATTAGCTGTATAATACCAGTAGGCCAGCTCTAATAGTAATTTGGTATGGCTTCGCGGGCCAAATGTAATTAGGCGGGCCAGAGTTTGACACCTATGGTTTAAAGGTTATCCACTTCTGACCCAGTCTCTGAGGCCTCTTCCTTAGAGCCTGGGCGAGAAGTTCAGTTACTCAGGAGGAGCTCGGAGCAGAGCCACTACTCCTCCACCTTGAAAGGAGTCCGCTGAGCTGGTTTGGGGACCTGGCTAGGATGGAATACCTCCTGAGTGAAGTATTTCAGGCATGTCCTACTGGGAGGAGGCCGCGGGGTAAACCCTGGACTCACTGGAGAGATTATGTCTCTTGGCTGTCCCGGGAACGCCTGACTACATTCAGTCATTCACCCATTCACACAAGCCCCAGATGAGCTTGGCGGAGGCTGGGGGGCTGATCTTCTCTGCTCGGGCTGCTGCCCTGCAATAAGAGGCTCTAATTTCTGATCTTTAACCCTGCACACTTCCACTGATCACCAAACTGTTTTTAAAATTGTACTAAATAAGAAATATTGCATATCAGCATCACTCACACCAATGACCAAAAGACTGGTGTACACTGGTCAAGCTTGTCTGATTAGAACTGCTGTTACAGCATCTGGATTTACTGAAAGAAGTGGAACATTTTCTAAACCTTTCAAAGGTAAAACACTGAATGCACCAACTGTGACAGAGCTGATTATTTTTCGTTGTTTCGACTGATTGAAAAGTAATCAGCAGCTAGTTCAATAAACAGGTATTTTAGTCCAGTTCTTAAGTAAAAGCCGTTCCCTGTTTGTAGCGTCTGCAGTGTGAGGATCTGAATGATGTGTTTGGGACTAAACTGATTGTCTCAGTTCATGCATTCAATAATGAACAACTTTCCCCCCACACATCGGTGAGCTGGAACCGGAGTTTTGTGGAAAGAATGCACAAAAAAGCAGGTCGTCTCCTCGCCTGCATTTAGCTGGTGTCTCATTGTCGTTGTGTTGATAAGGAAAGTAAAAACTACCATGCTCCATCTTCTGTCTGAAAAGTGAAAAGTTAAAAATTCCCACAGGTTATAAAAGTGTGATTTCCTTTGCCGAGGTGGCAGATGTGTAATCAGCCAGATGTGTTCGGCCTGAGGTGAAGCTCTTACACCTCACCCAGGGAACACAGATCGTCACCAGAGAAACGCAAAAGGGTCTCAGACTCATGCACAGCTCTCTGAGCTCTGCAGCAGCTCCGTTCTTCTCTTCTTCAGTCGTTCTGTTGCAGATCTGCTGCTGTGCTGGGATCTTTGTCCTGTTGATGACTCGGTTTGGTCCGAGCTTCAGCTGTGGGACACACGGCCTCACACTGACTCTACAGAGGAGCTCATGGTCCACTCAGATCACCGTCCCTCCTCCACCGTGCTGACGGCTGGATGAGGTGTTTGTTTCCTCCAGGTGTGCTGCTGTGTTTGTATTTCAGAGAGAAGAGGCTTCCAAACAGCCATACTTGCTCACTCTGTTTGTATTTGCCGTAAACTTTAACATTAAAAATGATAACTGTACAGTCAGAGATGAAGTCTTAAGACGTAACCGAGTCTTTAGCAGTGATTGTAAAGAAGACAGATTTCCTCAGGCAGGTTGTTCCACAATCCAGAAGCCCTAACAGCTCGAAGCCTTCTCGCGAACATCAGAAGTCGCACACCAGTTGGAACAAGAACAGCAGGTCGAGTACCTTTACAGGGGCCGTGCAGGGCTTCAGAATATAACAATAAAATTGTAAAAATCAACCCAAACAGCAGAACCGTTAGAAAGGATGTAATGTGCTCACTTTTCTTGGTTCTTTTAAGAAGTTTGGCTGCTGAGTCCGAGGGTTTTTCTATTAAAACACTGTTTACCTTTTAAAAAGTCAGCACAGCTAATAAAACAAAGGCGTGGGATCCACGTCATCTGTTATTCTTCCCATTTCTAGCCTGAACATCAAAAGGAGAAACAATGCCAACAAAGAAAACAGAAAGTGGTCTGATAAAAACATGATGACTGAAATGATACTCTGCAGCACATCCATGAGATTACAAACGTTACTGTATGAGCGCCAAATTTAATTTAAAAACACTTCATTCATCTGCGCGCCAAAACCACAACAAACCAGATCAATTCTACAGAAAAC